GAAAATGTGTCTTCCTTTTAATAGACAGCTCATCAGGGCCAGCTGGAAAACTGGACAGAACATTTTGTTACATCAACTAGCTTTATTTATTTATTTAAGAATATGTATATGGAACATTATAATTATGTTCTCAACTAACAAACACAGAGAATTAAAAACAAATACTGTAATTTTATAGATGTTTCAGAACAGTATAAAGACCATAGTCCATGTTTATAATTCAAAGATACCACTTTAATGATATATCATTTTGCATTACAACATTTACACTGGTTCTTTTTAAAATATGGTACCTTTTGTTTAGATCAGGGGTCCCCAAACCTGGGTCCTTGACCTGGTAGTGGTCCGCAGCCTAGGCAGGACCGAGCTGTGGACACAGATCTCCTGTCCCCACCATAAGCGTGCTCTACCCCCTGTGAACGTGCCATGTAGATGCGTGCAAGCTTCCCCTGTGAGTGCGCTCCACCCCTGCAGGTGCACCACACCTCCGTGAGCATGCCACGCCTCCCGCACAAGCATGCAACATGCCCCCAAATGGTCCGCGGTTGGGAAAAGGTTGGGGACCACTGGTTTAGATCACATGAGTTAGCCCGGTGCAGTAGTGGTGCACATCATGTGTTAAACATTCTGTTTTGCTCCTTGGGTGATGAAACATATGTGGGCAGACAAAAGAATACCAGATCCTATAGGACTAAGAATGTCTTAATTAATATTGCTGCTGATCCAAGTCATTAATATTGACCCTGAGTTCAAAGTGACTCTCAGACAAAAATCTGATATTTATTTCAAATTAGGCCAAGAGGGTCATCTTTTCCCTTGTTGGGTTAGTACAGTCATGCCCCGCTTTACGATTACCCCGTTTAATGACAAATGTTTTTGCGATCACTTTTGTGATCACAAAATGATGGTTTGAATGGGGTTTTTCTGCTTTGCAATGATTGGTTCCCTGCTTCGGGAACCGATTTTTGCTTTATGATGATCAAAAACAGCTGATCGTCGGGTTTCAAAATGGTCGCTGGCTGAAGAAAATGGCCCCTCATTGTGCTTAGGGACAGATTCCTCGCTGCAGAGGCATGGAAAATGGCCACCCCTATGGAGGATCTTTGCTGGACGGTGAGTTTTCAGCCCATTGGAAGCCGCCTAGAGTGGCCTTTTAGGCCAGATGGGCGGGGTATAAATCAAATAAATAAATAAATAAATAAATAAATAATAAATTGGAACACATTGAACGGTTTTCAATGCATTTCAATTGGCTTTTTAATTTCGCTTTATAATGTTTTCGCTCTACAGCGATTTCGCTGGAATGAATTAATGTCATCAAGTGAGGCACCACTGTAATACTACCATTTTCTTATTTTCTTTAATTCATTTAACTCATCTTCATTTATGGGCAAGTCCCAGTCCTGGCTCAACGGGGATTCTTGTGTTCTTATCCAGTATTATTGACTTGGGCAGCAGATCACTGGATTTCACAATTGAAAAACTGGGTTTCAGTCCCATGTATATTAAAAAAAACATAAATGCTTATAAATAAATAGTTTTGTAAAATTGCATAGGTTACAGAATAGACTTCTTTCAGTGTTTGAATGCCTCATAAAATATGAAGAAACTTGTATCAATATATAATTCAATGTCATGGTTAAAGCTGTATTGATAGGTAATTCAATTTTATGGTTTTGCTATTGCTGTCCTTCCAACGTCATTCATTTGCAATCATACTGTGGTTTATATGAATTTTACAGTACATGACATCCATAATTATTGCACAGTCCAGAGCAATAATTAATTAGAACAACTTGTGTTCACCTAATTTTGATGTCAAAACATTATTATGAATCCATTAATTTAGAGAATAAATTGCTTCCTCAAATGAATTTCAGTTCCATGGATTAGCTCATTTCTGGTATATGTTTATGTGCTGTGACTTGCAATTTTTCATAAACAGGGTACTTTTTCCATGTTTACTTGTAACACAGACCTTCAGAGATCAATATGTCGCAAATTTGCAGGAAAAAAGAAGTTTATGTTCAGACTTCTAGCCAACCAATCATAACTACTCAATTTCATTTCCTTTCACCTGCTAATAATCATTTTATGACCATTTTCTGCTCACTAAGAATACTGTATTTGGTCCTTATTAAATTTGTTCTAAAAGATCTTAAAGATATTTCCTGAAGGTTTTGTTTTGTTTTTGTATTTCTGCAAACTTTTAGGTTCTCCCACATTTGCTGGTATTTCCTTTTGTGTATTTGTATTACTGTTTTGCTAAATAAAGATCCACAAGATCATGCTTCTTTCACACTGGTAGAAGAGGGAATGACTTAAATTAATAGGAAACAGGACATCATCCATTTTTTCAATGAAGTTGTGGGGCACTATTATTTTAGGTTTTTAATGTAGCTACATTTAATGTTGCCAACTGCAGCCGTCTTGATTAAATTTAAACCTCACAAGCAAGTCATAACATATATTGGTTTCAACAGGCAGAAAATAGGTACCTCTATGATGTATGCCCTGCTGAGGAAACACTGGAAGTCACAAGACAGGCTAATTTTGCCAGAAAGCACCATCAATTATGTTTGTCACGAAGCAGGAAAAGAATGACATCATCTAAACAGGTCTTGTCACAAGAAAGAAAGAGGGAAGAAGAAAAGCCCACATAGGCTTATGACTGAATAGTAACTGCTCCAAAAGACTTGCAGGGAAAAGCAAATTCATTTAAGGGTTGGTCTGCAGCTACGGATTAGTCTTCAGTTTGGGAAGCAATGTGGAAGCAAAACTGTAAAAATTTGCCCAGCATAGAAGACACAACAGGGTATAACAGCTTTTATTAGTCCTCGTGATGTTGCTAAAGAGGCAAGCTTTGAACATGATGAATCTTCCATCCCACACAGCTCTACTAAGCACAACCCTCCTAACGTTGGAGAGAGATACTGTATAACCTAACCTTCTATTCTCCTATGCAGCACCATGGACAGCACCCTCAGCTATTAAAGCAATGCTGCTTAAGGCAGCAACTTGGTGGGTGTCACGTTGGAGAAGGCATTAAAGGTGTCATGTTTAAATTTTTGAGGAAATGATTAGAAGATGTTCTATCGAAACAGAATGCAAAAAGAGTTATTAATTTGCCAGGTGTTCAGTTTTAATCAGGAAGGTTGGCCATGGGATTCTGAAAGATTAAATGAAGAACCTAATAAATAGGAAGAACATTTTCTTGTGAAATATACTATATCAGATGTGCTGGATATTATGTAAGATAAACTATGTTATGACTCTTTCTGTGTTCTAATGTTGCCTGATTTATGTATAAATGTTTTCTTCCTTTATGATGAACAGAAATTTTATCCTATAGAGTTTGATGAGTATGTCAGTGTTGATTAGAAAGCCAAAACCTGGTGAAATACATAACATAAATAAAAATCTCATTTATGTATATATTCCACGGCTCCATATTGAAAAGACCACAGAAATAGGTTGTCGCCTTGCACAGCTGGCACTAGAAGGAAGAGTAGGACTGCTACCCCACCCAAGGAGGCAGAGCTCATCTCATTCAAGATGACTGATGGAAAGATATGTCCTCAGAAGAACACAGACTTTTCTTCTCTGCCCTGTCAAGTGCGTTTTGCTCTGATACTGTCCATTTGTGTGACTTAAGACACTTTTGAATTGCAAATGCACTTAAAAGTGACTGGCCAGACACATGAATGAACAAAGGCGGTGACTGACAGTTTAACCCCAAAAAGAACATGGATTTGAAATTGCCTTGAAACTTATCTTCAGGGAAAACCAAAATAAAAAGACAAAAGGCAAAAACGTGATAGCACTTTAAAGACTAATTGTTATGTTTTAATGTGAGCTTTCATGGACAGGTCCACTTCCTCAGACTTGTCCAGGAGAGGTCACATTAAAATATAGCAGTAAATCTTGAAGGTTTTTGTCTTTTTTGGGGGGGGTGCTGGTATGCTAGAACAGACTAACATGGCTATCTCTTCCAAAACTTCCCTTGAGGCGTGTCTCTTCTTTTAGATATACAAACGACATGGTGATATTGGACAGGAACAGGAGCACAGCATCTGAGAAGGGCACAGGATTGTTGTCGGCCAACAGCTCTGTGTTGTTTTCCAAAAAAGTAACTTGAGATTGTCGAATCTTCTTCCTCTCAGTCACCCTCTCCTCCGATGGTGAACCAGAGAGTAAAAAGGGCTTGGCTTCACAAAATGGCTGGACGTGGGTGGCAGCAACGTTTGCATGGAGATATAACCTCTGGTTTTCTTATGCAGCATTCTTCCGCCGAGGAGGTAGATTTCCCAAAGAAATTAGCATCTCTGAGGTAAACAACAACAACAACAAGCAGCAGCAGCCACCCAGGCTGGGAGGGGCTCTTGTCAGGAGGGGGTTTCCCTTTCCACGAGGGAGGCGGAGGGGAGCGCCCAGGCTTTCCCGCCAAAGCGGAGACCCCACTCGGAAGGCAATCCCACCCACACCTCTCGTTCCCGCGCAGCTTGAGAGCGAAGCCCGACGCGCCTGGGCGCCGCCTCCCTGCCCGTCCCTGTTCCTCGCAAAGAAAGCGTCGGGCTTGGCGGCCGCCACCTAGAGACGGGAGGGCGGGACGAGGCGAGCGGGGAAGCAGCGGCAGCAGCAGCAGCGGCAGCAACAAGAAGCAGCCAGAGCCGCTGCCGTCGCCGGCTCCCGCGCTCGACCAGCAAGGCGACGACCGGAGCGCCAAGCCCGGCAACCAGCCCGCCCGCCCTCCTTCCTTCGCCCGGGTAGGCGCCTCGCCTCCTGCCTCCCCGTCGTCGTCGGCTAGCGCTTTCCCTTCCCTCGCCGGCCAAATGATGAACTTTCTGCGGCGCAGGCTTTCGGACAGCAGCTTCATCGCC